ACACACAGACAGAGAGATTATGATGATGGTTCCATTGGTCATCTGCACAACTTGATCGGTCTTTTTTTTTTACTTTTTGGGGGACATGTAAATATGCAACACTAAAACAGAATATGAACTGACATTATTTCACATGCATATTTCACATTTTCACTTCACAGCAAGAAGGGTCTAGGTTTGATAATGATCCCTTTCTGCATGTTCTTTCTGTGTTTATTCAAGTTTATTTTTGGTGTTTCCTCCCACATTCCAACGACAGGTAACTCTAGTTCATGTAATTTAGTTTTTATGTGAGAGTCTGTTTTTAAATGTTAGTGCTGCAGTTAAGTCTGGGGGTACAGATGTGGTTTTGGGGTGAGAAGGGGTTAAAGGGCCTCAACCTCCAGTTTCATCACAGCTTCATTATGCTGCTCAGGCCTCATAGTCAGGTTGTAACCAAAGGTTGAACATCCCTTCCCTTCCTATTACTGATATGATACCCTTGAGTAAGTCACTACACCCACATTTGCTCAGATCAAACTGTTAAGTGGTCAGCAGTAAAGAGGTCATCTGGGGAACTCACGGGTCATGAATACAAATTCATAAATGTTAAGTACACTGATGATGAAGAAATTAGACTTACAGCAGAATAGTAATAGAGAAAAAAGTGTATGTACAAAATGAAATACAGAACAGATTTGACAACACATTTTTAATGAATGACCTGCATAAACAATCATCAGGTTGTCAACAACCGATTTGTCTCCATTAGGGAATTACATATTCACAGATGTAGTTTTTGAGGCTGCGACACACCTCGTCGTACCACTTTCCTTGTGCAACTACTGAAAGAGCAACACAGCTCTCCCTCTTCGTTCCTGTGGGCTGCTTCTTGGAGCGGTCCCAGTTGAAGTAGCTGACTGGCAGGCTGTTGACATCAACATACTGGCCTTCTTTCACGATGTCTGCTACACCGATCCAGAAGTCTTTGGATCCAGGAGCGCTCCTCTTTGCATAGTCTCTTAGTTCATTGTTTTCCATCATGTCCCGTGGCGTTGCAAGAGTTCCTCCTTGTGCAATGCAGTTTTCATTTGCTTCATGGTAATGTTTTGGTTCCTCAATTGTGAGATAACACTTCCTGTGAGCTTTGATGCCACGGAGACAGACTGAAAACACAAAGCACTTACTTACATTAGCGAATTGAATTGTAATTTAATCTTTTTTTTAATACTTAATCCCCCATTTTTTTACAACAGAATTTATAGCAATTCCTGAAGTGTTGCTTCACAGTCTGAATAGTCAGTAATTATTTTGCCAATAAAGGAAAATAATACAAAATAATAAACAACAATAAATTAATAAATACATTTATAGTATTTTTATATAATCAATTCAAAGTATTAAAAAAGAGACACACAGTAAAAATAAAAAATACACACAATTATAAGAATATAATGTTCATGTTTTTTATGTTCTATACACTCACATTATTCCCTTTGTGCAATTCAACCTTTTAGTTCATACATTAATGGCTGATAAGAGTGCTGCTGCTCTCTGCTGGTGACTCACACACTAAAAAGTTCAAAATCTATTTATATTATCTCTCAGCAAGTCCACACTCTTTCATGGCGGCTCATTGACTTAAATAACAAGTAACAGTGAGAAAAAGCACCAGAACGTATTTATAATTCAACCTTAAATCACAATGTCATTAACTAACCATTGTCCAATAATTGATTTCTTATTTACTTACATACAGTCACAGCAGTGCTTATGAATCTAATCTATTACTGTCCTCCCTACTGTCTTTAATCTTCGTTAATGTAGTGAGGGCGGTACCTGTCTGCAACGCCTGCATCTCCTTCAGTGAGTTCACCTCTTGCCACAACCTCTCAAGCTGGGACCTCACTTCATCTTCTTCTGCAGCTGCATCTCCACGAAGAGGGAAGAGCAACAGGTCAGATACGCCTAGGTGGCAAGCATGTTATTTAGGAACTGTGCGTATAGTTACCTCCGGACTGATGGGGTGACACAGCCTTCCTGGTGCGAGATGGACGGCTGTAGCTGAAGTGGAGCAAGGAGAAGCAAAGAACGAGGAGGACAGGGAGGGCCAGATGAGCCATGTCTGAGGCCAGTGGATCCTACAGTGACATTACACAGTAGCACACCTTGTACTGCCGTGAAATAAACCAAAACGACTGCAGGCAGCACAGTATATACTGGCCCCTCTGTATGCCTTTCTGGGTACTCTGCCTGCATTGGCTCCAAATGTTTTTGTCCAAACATCAGGAGGCGGTGAGAGAGGTATAAGGGTGGAGTGGCAAATAATGATTTCCTTGTGTCTGGCTTTTGATAAATATTTACTTGGGACAAGGTGCACTCAGCAGTATTCCCTTTCATTTCACAAACAAACTGGAAATTCGTTGACTGCTTTGAGTGTTGATCATCCCATCCCTGTTCCATGTCAGTTCAGGACACGCTAAATCACTTTTTAACATGTGAAAAATAACCTCAAACCTGGGCTTCAAATGTCAAACGATGTAAAATATATGATTCATGTACACTAAGTGGTACACACTACGAAGGGTCATTTACAACTTTGAGTACATGAAAACATATGACTGAGTAAATGTTGCTGCTACGTATACGCTGTAGATTTCTTTTGAATATTCCAATCACACAGACTTGCAGTTGTATAATCTCTCAAAATAAGGCCTTTACTAAACCAGATGAAGTGCAGCTCTCTGCTCGGGTGCAAAGCTATTTTTAGAGTGAGATGTTGTATACAGATGGGAGGGGGGAGCTAAATAAGAAAAACCCTTGGGCATACAGGCTTAGTATAGAAATACAACTGTCAAAACTAGCTCAAGAATCTTTCCCATTTTACTGACTTTAAATTCTACATTTCTAAGCATTAGCTCCTCCCCTGGTAAATATAGTAATGAAAATAATAAAAATAAAAATAATTGTGTATTCTAAGCAAATAAGGTTATTGAAAACTCTGATAGTTTTATTAGTTGCAATACTACATGTATTCCAAGATAGTCCTCTAAATTTGTAGGTTTTTTCTAGCAAGAATACTTTAAAACAGCATTTCTTGTGTTTGATGTGACACACAGTAGGTGTAAATGGATGTGAAAATGAACTGTATGTACCATGTATTTAGTTTAGACCCATTGCACAGTATCGAGTCCAAGTTCTTTGTTTAGTTTGCATTTAAAAAAAGCTGTACAACATCTTATTGTATGCTATTCCAATGCAATCACTAACATTTTTATCTTATTCCACCCCGAGGCGGACACCAAAAACTAACACCGGACCCTTAGTTAGAGAAAAGAAAAATGGCCAATAGTTCTGGTTTAATCAATAATTCATGATTAATATTCCAAAAACATAGATGTACAAATACATCTTAGTTTGCAGCAGTTCTAGTAATAGCACATGCACTGACTACCTGGTAACATCTTTGCAAAGGTCAACAGCTGTACAATGGAGTACTGCTAGACAATCGTTAATCATTAGACAGCAGCATATTTCTTTTCTTCTCCTTTGACACACATAGTCCCTTAGCTCAGTGTCACAGAAACATTAAAGTACTGTCTGCAGAAAATAAAAAAAATCACTGACTTTGTTGCCACCTTGTGCCAAACGGAGGGATTGTGCAGAATGTGCAGTTTATTAGTACCCTAGTCCATGTTTTGAACCTTACGCTAAAGCAAAAAACATTTAAACATTTCACGTTCTCATCAAGTTCACTTGTGATTTGAATCCAGGTAGAAGCCAAAATTCCTCACTGATTCCATAAGCTCAAAATAAATACATGTATTCACATAATATATTAAAGAAGAAGAAAGACAACTTTAAACAGGAAAGGGACGACATGAATCTCATGTGAAATAAATTAAAACCCAATCCCGGCATACTTTGCAGATCAATTTATTCAAGTAAACAGAGCTGTACTCAAAGAAAGTACAAAACAGAAAATTTGCCAAAAATATATACGACCACAGGTTAACCAGAGTTTATAAGGGATTTTGTGAACAAACTACAGTACTAAACACTTCAGTTTTTTTTTTTTTACAAGATAATATACATACACTCAAAAACATGCTCTCTCTCTCTCTCTCTCGTACACACTCACACACATACACAGCAGACCTGACATTAAAGGCATCAAAATTATAATTATTTCCACAGTGTCTACACATCATTATCCTTACTTCCAAGTTACTTCTAAAATGACTTAAATCATCGCTTGTGTAACTCATTAACACTTATGTCTCTCCAGCGTTTATTATTCAACTTCAAAGCATGCAGCGTTGGTTTTGGTGATACTAAGTTGATACATTTTTTTAATCTGTTGAAATGGCATGATTACGAGAGACTTATGTCACTGTTTTATAATTGAGAAAATACTTTTTGATGTGTACTCTGGTTTCAATTTAATAATTCAAGTAAAGTAATAAATAATTCAGATGACTAGCAGATATAAAATACACAGAATAAGCAAGGCCCAAGAAATAGTGAAAACAATAGTTTGTTTTTACTTGGATTAAATTAAAAATAAAAACAGATCAGTCATTTGAATATGTGAGCGTGAAGGTTCTCTTACATTTCATCAACAACACGCAGGTGTGGAGTAAAGCAGAGGGCATCGGACTTAAATAAAGTAATACACAGCGTTGCTCAGACCTAAATCGCCCTGCTTTGAGACACCAGCTCATTGTAAAAATAATTGATGTTGGAGTCGTATGGCACTTTTGTTGTGAGGCACCAGCAAGTAAACAACAAGTTTTTAATAGTTTACGCATCTGTTTTCATATTCCAGTTAAAAATACCTATTTTGTTGGTTTGTTCAATGCAAACTTCACACAAGGAAACCATTTCAAGTATCAAACGCTCATTTGTAGCTTGAAGGCACTGGTGATCCCCCTAAGAATTAAGAATCATGCTAATATCTACACACAGACCTCTCTAGCTCTCGTGGCTTACACATAACTGTTGTGACATGAGAAAGTAATTCACTCTCTTGGCCAGAAGCATCAAAACATTGGAGTCGTCATTTTCTCAAACTTATGTCAATCGTTTGCTTTTATTTTTTACAGCTGTCATCACTGAGGACAGGTGAGAATCAAATAGCACTGTATTGTGAAATATTAAGACACGTGAAGCTTGTTATAGTATACGACCTGTGTGTGCATTAGTAAATTAAGTTTTTAAGGGTGTTCATTTTAAAGTGACAATAGCAAGTCAGCAGATTTTAATGCCCATTCAGTCAATAAACAGTTGGCAGATGCAATTAATTGTGAAATGGACACAATTACATTATTGGCTCGCATGACATGACTTCTTAATACCGTAAATAATATAATACTATATTGAGATTGGCACTTGCATCTGTTGCCTGGGTGTTTGTCTGGGTTTACCCAAAACCTTTGCTTGACCAATCAGCTGATAAGTAAAAGGTAACAGACAAGAGGCACAAACATATACTGTACATACATCCATTCATGCATACATGAATACATGCATACAGCACATGCATACATACATACATACGCACGTACTGCACAACACGCGTGTGTGGTTGGGTTCCTCTGGTGAATCTGTGCAGCCTCTGCAGTCTCTAGACCTGTTCAGTGGATGAAAGGCATTCGCTCCTTGCTGTCGTTGTCTCCCTCTGGCTCCTCTTCTTCCTCTCCTGCCTCACTGGTCTCTGTGCTGTCGCTGGCCATCTAGCGGTGAAATGTTACTCAGCTGTCATTAACTGTATACTGAGCTACCGATACAGAGGAACAGCGGCCAACACATATGTGATTTGACATCAAGTGGTACGGCAAATATGTAAATGTGTCCTCTGAGGCTAATGGACAGCTGTATACATGGTCTATAGTTTCAATACGAACATGTCTCAACGTCTAATAGAATAGAATCATTTCTAGGTTTGATGTGAATATCACCATGGAAACGACTGTTATAAAACAAGAGGAAATCCTACTCACTGCCTCTTTATGACCCTGACTGGACCTGAAATGTGCTGTAGGCATCAGAAATGTCAAATGTAACTATTTATCAGCAACACATATTGCACAGCGTGTCAGCCAGTAAATTAGCTGTGTCGTTAATGAAGCACATAGATCAGAAAATCAGATGTTACAAAGTTTCTGAGAAGCATTTTTACTTAAGATGTGTTTAAAAAATGAGCTTGACATCGGCAAAAGAAATAAGATCAGGGAAACAAGGGACTAATATTTTCTTCTATAAGTTATTGTAACTCCCCAAAATTGTTCTGCGTTGTGCATCATTTTATATCTGCCAATTCATTGCCATCTTCTCCTTTTCTCTTCTTCCTATTAGTCATGTACCCTCAACCACCAATGTCATCTAATAATTACTGTAATCTTACTGAAAAAGATGTAAAGTGCTGTTGCATAAATCGGTGTGACAATTATAAATCTTTGTAGATTTGCACTTCAGATCAAGAGCTTAACCTGTCTATTAATGTATCTTTATACTTTATTCCTACGATTAATTTGAAAAAACAAAAACAAATAACATTCAAAATATTACCAGAGGGGTGGGAGACTTCTCAACATCCAGAATGAGTTTTCCTATGTTGCCTCTGTCATGAATTCTCTGCATGGCCTCTTTTACCTGAAACACAACAATAACTGACTTTCAACATGCAGAACTAGTGACAAACAACAACATACATACATTCATCGACTGTGATATCACAAATGAAATCTCATTAAATAATGACTCTTTTTTTGACATAAAAAAGCATGACTATTTTATACTAACAGAGAAGTTCTTCAAGTTCTTGTTTTTAAAAAATATTAGGCTGGTACATCTAAGTCCAAGTCATTTTATAGAAAAACAAAGTTACATTTTTAATAGTTTGAGCTTTAACATTTTGTGTAAGAAACAAGGGTGCCAAAAAACATTTCACTTCTGATGATAAAATTGGTGAATGACAATAACAATAAAAGCTCTCCAACAGGAAACCCCGTTGTAACACTGGAAACAACATTTAAAAGCACCTGCTGAAAAACTCATTGTCATCTGAATCCACACAAAGTCACATTTGCAATCATTTCCTGGTCGTTACAGACACAAGCCCACTTCCTCAGAGCAGCGATAATCTAAACTTGCTCTGTGAGAAAGGTTAAAAGCCTTAATAAACTACATGATGCTGACTCATCCTGCTGGGCTACGCTGACATCACACTGCACACCTTACTGCCTGTAGAACAGACCCTAGAAGGTTTATATGAAGCACACAGCTTCATGATTGCAGGGACAATGTAAGCTCTATCGTGCATTGGAGATTTGATGTACCAGCTTTAGGACGCCGACTAACGTGGGCTCTAATAAGTAATAAATGATGTCCCATACAATGTTGAAGTGAGTCGCATCCTGCAAAAACGAATTACTTTAATATTCCCTATCTTGAAAAAGCTTACACCAACATAATAAGGTCCTCATCTCTGAAAAGACGTAATATCCGGATAGAGATGTTTATTTTTGTTTAATTTATGTGAGTATGAATGAACTTTATACGAATTGTTATGAGGATGATTTGTTGAATACTTAAATGTAACATTAGACACAAACCTCTGCCAACTAGACACACTGTTCTAACACAGTGGTACACCACACACCCCTTTTTCAAACAGATTCATGTATTGAGAATTTTCATTGTCTATGGAGGCGGAAACATATACATTTAGAATAACGTAATTGAAACATTGCATAGTAATGCAGAAATGTTTCTTTCACAAATACTAAAAACTGTGGACAACATTAAAGATTGATCCATGACTGACTCATCAAGTGTGTTATGCTGATGAACGACAGTATTCCTAACACCTAAATAGTCTGCAAACACTTTAACAGGAGAAAGAGTGCAGGCAGGGCTTTTAATCACGCTACACTCAAAATGAAGGCCAGGCTTCTGTTACCAGGGAGTCTGTTAAAACATCTGTCCACAATATGTTTTATTAGCTGACATTTTGTTCAAATTCAAATCTCATCCCAGCTACTACTGCTAGGCGAACACAACTGACCAAATGTCAGAATCTTTAAAGGCTGTGCAATCTGACCAGTTAACAATCAGAGTTTCGGTCCATATTGTTAATCATCAGCAGTCTGATTGCCTAAAGCTGCGCGGTGGTGGAATGGGAGTGGTGGAGCAGGTGCAATCATTTTCCTGATTTTCTCCAACTCAACAACACACCACAGATTTAAAGCTCCAATCTGCCATCAGTGTAGAGCACCCCAGCACCCCAACGATCACATCATGGTGGAGTCTACATGGTCTGCATGTGCAGGGAAATAATGCAGTTACTCAGTGAATTTACTGTGACGTTTTATCAACTATGTCCAACAACAATCTCTACATCCATCAAATACACCTGCAGGTCAAAACGTGTAAACACCAATGCTACTCATCAAAGCTTGTCTGACTCACTTGTTGCAAAGATAAAATATCACACATCACAAACGATTACTCAGGATGCCATATCTTGCTTTCTCATTACAGTCGACACAAAGAGACAACTGATTGTGCCTCTTTGTCTGGACACCATTGTGTCACAAGCATTCATTTGCTAAAAGAAATAGCCAAATCAAGCCAAGAGCAAAAATAGGTCAGCAGCTCGTCGAGCCCTTTGGGGGGTAAGATTCACTTGCATTATAGGTGTAATGGGGCCTCCTGATACTTTAAAACAATATCTGCAAGATACTGTATGTTGGCTTCATTTTATTTTTTAAGTATCCTAAATAGCATTGACCTTGGGACTCCGAGGTGAAAGAGACAGATTCATTTTTTCCGAACTCAAACTGCTGGTGGTCCAGTTATTCTGCTTTGGTCACACATTCTCTAACTTTTCATTCCAGTAACAAAAGTTTGCCGTGGTCAACAACAAACTAAGGCCCTCTGAATTCCCCGTCCAGGCATATGAACAAATGAGGCAGGATGTGCCCCTGACACTACATCCCACGCCATCCTCCCCTCTAATGAGATTCTTCATGGGCAATGGTTCCAGTGAATGGCCTGACAAATCTGCCAAAGTTTAATAACATGCAGTACCGGGGCAGTTTCCCATGAGAAACAAAAATCCTAAAAAGATCATTTCATCAACCTGTTATCTCTCTGACTGTAGCTACAAAGCTCAGAATGACTTGTTATCAGCTTCTTGTGATGGGTTAACTGCACTGCCTCAACTCCCACCTGAATTACTGAAGCATTTTTGGGTGGGAAACAAATTCCAAACTTTTACTTGAAAAGAGGGTATGTAAGGATGTGTTAGATGCCCTCTGATATCACTGATGGGAACAATCAGGCAAATCGCTTTCAGGTAAAACGTTATGCTGAAGAAATGGCTGTAGCTTAAGTTTGAATGGGACCATAAGCACACCAATAAGGAGATTAACCTCATTATCACAGACAGTGGCTTTTGTCCTTTCGACTCCAGTTGTGGTTCATAAACGTTAAGGACAAGTACTTCCTGCTACCCAGGATAAACATTTAGTCAACCTATTTCACCGCAGATATTTTTTACATGTCATATCAGGCAAATAAGTGAACACATCGGTGTAACTGAACTATAGGTGTGTAGAGCCTTTAAAATGGTCAGTAGCAACTTTTTTGCTGTGTTTATGATCCGACCAAAGATACTAAAATAGCCAACAAGACATAAGATTTAGATGTTTCTACCATCCTCCTGTGTCCTGTCTACTGTAGGCCCTGCAGGTAGAGACTTTTTCTTTCGGCAAGGGTAAGACCTGGGATGTGAAGAGATAATGGCCCACTAAAGGTTCTTGTAAACTTAATTTACCAGTAATGGAAAATTAAGTAATGGCCCTTTACCAGTAATGGCCCAGACACAATACGACAACAGCACCACTGCGCTCTGAAACCCATTATTTCTAATGGCTTGCGACCAACCACGAAGGTGTTACGCTGCACCGACCTGGTTGAACTTCAGGCGCAGTGTGCTGTGATGTGCACCTCAAACCATGTTGTGTCTGAAAGGACCATGAGTTCCGGTCATAGTGCTTCAACTCTGCATCAAACAGCCGACACAAAGATACTGAGGATTGCAACAGTGTCCTGAGTGAAGACAAAGACCTAAGCAAGCAGACGTTGCACTACTACTTGTTGAGGTCTATGTGAAAAGTAGCTATCGTGATTAGAATATGTTTTGAAGGATAGGTGTACTGAGAAAGATCCCCCAGAAATGGAATAACCACAGTTCAAAGAGCTTGTAGAAAGTAAAGTGATTGATGTACAGTATGGCCTGTCGGGCTTTGTGTTGGTGTGAAATAATTGTGAAACTGGATGATACAACCTACCCACCATCTGTGGAAGAATGTCCAAGAACAGCTGACAACGTCCCACAGAAAACAGCAGTAACAAACCACAGATGATATGCTGTCCAAGATGTTTGCATGAAATCTTCGCTTACATTTTAAACCTGGAATCTCCGTTTAGATGACCACTGTAATTAGATAATTCTTAATTTGCTCATCATTGACTTCATTCACCGTGTTACACCCTCTGATCACCCCAGGGTCTTACCTCCTCCAGCGCCCATAGGGAGTCCACAACCGGCTTGATCTTCTTTTGGTCATAGAGACACAAGAGTTTGTCCATCACTGATTTCACAAGACTACATTTCCCGTGTTTGAAGAGAAGGTTGAGGAGCGAGAATCCTGCTATGACTTTGTTCTCCTCGTATAGTTTAATAGGGTTCACCTTCTCCACCTGCCACCACTGGAGAACAAGAAAATAAACACAGAGAGACACGTTCATCCCGAGGGACTCATTTGTGTGTTTCATTTGCCATGAAATTATGAACTGTGCATTGTGTAGTATTGTTTCCCTCAAATGTTGATAATAGACTGCATCTCTGACTCACAGATTTTGCAAAGCTGAAGAAACTCTTTGTTTCCCCAGTTACCATGTTTGACGCGCCTGAAAAAACAAAAATAAAAGGATTGCTGTATGCTGTGCAGAAGTGACTTTTCAATAACAGGCAGCCTTGCATGAAGGGTGAAGGTGGGGGAGGAACAGTTGGCACCTTTAGACCCTTAGATCTGTGAAAGCATGCCTTTGCACATACTCAGTATAACTAAAACTAATGAACTGATGAATGAATCTCCCTCTAATGCTTCTACTTGATTCATGAGGCTTAACACAAACTAAAGTAATTAACAGAGATCAGATAAGTATGGTAGCTGTGAAGGACAACACAATTAATTTGCAGTTTATGGATGGAGTATTCAAGTGAGCCTCACTATCTCAAACTCAGTCCGGCTGCCAACACAATACATTAATGCAGACTCGTCTTTATTGTAATTATCACCAGGCTTACTGATTCCCTGTTTCCCGTCTTTATGCTAAGCTATGCTATCTGTCTCTTGGCTCAAGCTTCATACTTAATGGACAGATGTGAGAGTGGTACCGATCAGTCCATATAACCCTCGGCAAGAGAGCATATAAGTGTGTTGCCAAAATGTTGAACAATTCCTTTGACTGCTAATATCAACTTGAAGCACATCGACTATAGTTTGACTACACACAAATACAATGCAAATGTAGTTATTTTCGCTATGAAAGTACTAAATAGAAAACATAAGTCTTGTTCCCACCGTAGAGTATGTAGGTTCCCAAAGGCCTCAGCAGAGTCAGGCCTTTCCCTGTGTTGTCCCCACACAGGCAGTCCAAGACAATGTCTACTCCCTCTGGAGAAATCCTAAAACATCAAGAACAAAGCAAAGCTGAAGTTCACTGAAAAAATGATTCATCTCATTTAATTTACTAATTATTTAGTTTAAACATTAAAGCTGTAACTAATGCTTATTTTCCCAGTTATTTGTTTCGTACATCAAATGTCAACATTGTTAAAAGATTTGCCCAATACAGTTTCCCAGAGCCCAAGCTAATGTCTTAGTTAATTGGTCAATTAAATGACTAGTTGACTGACAGACAATTATTGGCAACTATTTTGATAATTGATAGTTTGAGTCATTTTTAAGATAAAAAAAACAAGCATTCCCTGGTTCCTGATTCTCACATTTAAGAATTTACAGCTTTTCTTAATATTTTATGATAATAAAAGGGAGTATCCTTGGGTTTTGGACTGTTTTTTCTACAATTCTTTGACATGAAAGCTGAAAGCTGAAACGTTATTTGATCAACTGATTAGTCGATAGACAGAAAAGGAATCTGCAACCATTTAAGGGCTGTAACTCATTTTCTTTACAGATTAATCTTCATATTAGTTGAACATGTAGTATGATGCAGTATTCAACCAATATGAAGATTAATCTGTAAAGAAAATGAGTTACAGCCCTTAAATGGTTGCAGATTCCTTTTCTGTCTATCGACTAATCAGTTGATCAAATAACCGTTTCAGCTTTCAGTTGAGATAAAGTGCAATCAGAGGTCAGCTTCACACATTCACAGTGTTGTGGTTGTATTCCCTTCTTACGACTGTGAGCACTTAAAGCAAAAGTGCAAAACTGAATTCTATATTCAGCCTGTGCGTCATACTGTGGTGCAGCTTCACTTTTTATCCAATCATGGATTTATAAGTTATGAGCATTGATTCTCTGGGCTATAACTCTGAGAAAAAGTTGCAGTACAACCCACGATTTTTTACTTTTCACTACAGTAAAAAACTCCTACAGTTTCCTTATGAAGACCTTGTTTTTCAATACCCACATCCCTCCTCATCAGCAAAATGCATGCAACAACAAAGTGTGATGCTCGCACACAGAATCAATCAGACAAAAAGGTTTGCCATAATGAGACTCATTAAAGTCACAGATACGAAAGAATGAACGGCATGTTATAATCAAGGCCACTACCTTCTGCCTTGTGGCCCTGGACACCTGCTTGGCTAAACTGCTTGGTGGTCTTGTGATTCCCATGGTTTTTGCCTTTTGTAAAAAGACTAATTTAATTGTACTTTGCTCTTGATCCTGAGAAGAATGTGAGGGCCAGAGAGATGAAAGGCATAATAATCCACTACCACTGTTGATATGTAGGCAGAACACATGAAACAATCAGTCCGCGTGAAAAACAAAATCTGATTCCCTATATATTATAACCTCAAAAATATAATCACACAGCGTGTTTCATGCGTAGTGCATGTATCCTGATTAAATGACTCAACAGCATACAGTAGCTCAAAGGAGGCAGCATGGTGTTGGAGTTCTCTAAATCATCAAAAGCTGAATTTAACATCACAGCATAATAGTAGTAGACCTGCATCATACTACATGAAATCTCAGGCAGTGTTTGCTCCGAGGTGTTTTTCTTGTAGTGCAAACCGGCTGACAGCGTGCTGTCTACTGAATGGAATGTGTAGGGCATCAATGCTCAGCCCTAATTGGCTCAGTTGTTCCACATTGCCAGTGCAGACCTCCGCCCTACACAATGCTGCTGCTCTCTCAGATGAGCCGTGAGTTGCCATGGGGACCACGGCCACACAAGACCAAATAAGGCAACAGGTAACATCTGCCTCCTTGCACAGCCCTCTGCACTCAGTAAGGTCCACGTCATCACAATAGCGCACATGTATAAAATGCTACAGCCACCATGCCTGATGATGCCGTGAAATTACATTTTTGTTTTTTACATGAAGAAATTATTATTGTGAAAATAGACAATGAGGAACTAAAAACAGACTCTTCAGCCTCAAATCAATCATAATAAGGACAAACTTTTCATGCTTACTTTTTCACCTCTTGCATATAATCAATGTTTCTGTCAAAGAGGTGAGTCACAGAGTCTCTGATGGCTGCATGTTTGAAACACGAGGCGATCCCAAACACGGTCACGTTAGGCACAGTTGAGCACAGCTGAGCCACTGCTTGACCCTGAAAATAACAAACAGTTGCAACAATGTATCAATGTCTGAGAACACAGGGGTTTAACTCAAGCACACCAAGATCACACAAAGACAAAGACAACAGTTGGTACACCATGAAACAACAACCAAACATTCATAGAAATTTAGATATAGTGTTGTAGAATATAGACATTGTACAAATTATAATCAAATAGTTGGATATAACAACATTTTTTGATTTATTAAGCCTTTATTTCAGTCATTCCAAACCTTAAATGATTCAAAAGGATGTTTAAGACCTTAAAGTAAGAATTCAGTCAGAAACAGCAGTTATCAAGCATTAACAGGGAATAAACAACATGTTCCAATATATGAAGCAGTCTGTTACAATGATAGTTGGATGAATTTGTTGTGTGGTTGTGCAATAGTCATAAAATAAATGGACTTACTACACCACCTCCTGCTGAGTGTACCAACACTGACATCCCCTCTCGCAAATTGGCAACCTCAAAAAGCATCATATAGGCAGCCACAAAGTTCAGGGAGAATGCAGCAGCCTCAGCAAAAGACATTTCCTCTGGCATCTTGTAGACAAAATCCACCGGCGTGCAAACAACTTCTGCCCAGGCATTGTAATTGACAAAAGCCATAACTCTGTCGCCTATCTGAAAGAAAGATGTTAGAGTAGCCGGATGACAGGCAGACACTCATGTGAAACAATCACGTGGCACTAAGTTGTTTGATTTAAACAGCTATGTCATTATTTGGCTTCTAGCACATTTCTAGATTTGTTGATGCAGATTTGGTTGCTTAGAATCTGACAACATTCATCCATACATGCGCCAGCATGACGAGTTACAATCCTTAATGACACTAACCTCAAATCCTGTTGTGTTTTCCCCTACCGACTCTACTATTCCAGAGCATTCAAACCCAGGGACAAGGGGGGGTTTCGGAGGGTTATCAATAGTCCCCTGGCGTACCATCAGATCCAGGAAATTCAAGCCACTGCAACAAAGAATAAACAGGACCTTACAGTTTGTTTACATTAAATCCCTCTGATTCATATTTCTGAACTGTGTCTACCCACTGACAGCTATTAAACAAATAATACAAATACTTAGAACGAGTTGTTAAGAGATTTAGGGATAGCCCAGAACTATGTGATTAGTATCAGCAATAAATCACTGGCTTACATGTTATTGGTACAGCAGTAATCCTTTGCTGGTCAATACTTTGTAAATGCAGCCAATAAACAAAAATAATGATTTAAAATGACTAAATCTGCCTTAACAACGCTGGCTTGGCTGGCAACAGTCAGATTGCTCTTCGTGTTTGCTTGGTATGAGCGTGATATATCCAGCAAACCTCCTGCGCAAGAAAAGACCTGTGGCTTCATGACTGCGAGATATTCCAAAAAGATTCAGCGTTCATACTTGTCAGAAATACTGTAAAGGGGGGGGTGGGGTGGGGTGGGGTCGCAACAGGGAGGCCATATCACATCACAATCCATAAGTTCCTGTGAAATGTATACAACTGATATTTATATTTACCATGCTTTGACGCGTATCTTCACTTCACCATCCTGAGGCTCGGGCATTGGCTTCTTGGTTACCCTGAGTTTGTTTAGACCTCCAAAGCCTGCCAGTACCACCGCTCGCATTTCCTTCGCATCGCCCGACGATTCCACGTTTTCCACTGGTTCTTTCCCGACATTTGTGTCGATCATGTACTGCGTCTCCTCCGTCATATCTGCTCCTTCTTTCGCCATGTCGTAGACCCGCTGCCCTGCCTCTCCGCTCCTCCTCTGGGTACAGATGGATGTGGTGTGCAGCCTGTGCACGGACACGCGCTGTATCGATGGCGATCCACGGCGGAGCCTGAAATCTCACCGTCTACACTTGTGTTCAATCATGCGGATAAGTGCTCAACAGTATTTTTTTATTTTTCAGTCAAGTCACATAGATACTGATTAAGTTTGCCATTTCACGAATCAGAAATATGATTAATCCGGTAACGTTACTGCCTTTGAATGCAGCGGGCTAAAGTATGAAGTGCGCCACCTGCTGGTGAAGTGTGTACAAAACTTTATCTGCGTTAATGCAACTCATACATCCATGACGCACAGACGGAAACCCTTCAACAAGTGCGGTGCCTTCAGGTACGCGTAGGAAATGTAGGATGAACATCTCCTCACCTTCAAGATAGCATGCGCAGGTACGCTAGTTTATCGCCACATCAAATCCAGTTGATGTTAAAGTCCAACGACCCTGAACGTTACTGTTCGTCTGTTGCTGTTATTGGAAGCTGTGCCACCTGAAATAAATAGCTGTCAATGCAGAGCAGCACACAGCGGGTTTAACTTTGCTGCTGGAGAGATGTAAATATTTTGTAAATCTGAAAGTATGAATAACAAAACAAACGCAAAGCTGAAATACCTATCCATGCTCAGCAGAGTCTGAGCCATGCCAAGTACACTTTAAAGTGATATTTATACTTTTTTTTGATAATAATTCTTTAATGTTTGGATTGTAAAGGATTATGTTGAGCAGTTGTAAAATAAACTTGTCTGTTCCTTGTGACACAGTTCTTTTATTAGTTCAAACATATCTTTGCCATTTGTATACTTCAGTTTCTTGTTATTCATCAGCCAATATATACGTTGAAATTAATATATAATTTATCAGCATGGATGATATATCGGTCAAGATTTAATGCTCAGGGCTCTTACTTGAAGTTCCTTTAAGGCCCCCTATGACGTCTGTGATCAACAACTTTTATATTGCTCAACTGTTTGTTTATTGCTTTAAGAGATGGGGAAAAATAACTAATGTTTAGGCTCTTAGTTGGCAAGTGTTATGAGAATAACTAATAAAAGTGAGACCAAGCATCTCATGGCTCTTACATAACTAAATTAATTTAACTATATGTCCTTTTGAAACTTGATTATTAAGTGTGTTTTTTTTGTCACAAATGCCTCCAAAGTCAAACAAGTTGTGTGTGGAGGAAAGCTCCTGCTTTTTATTGCAATAAGCATTATCAATGCATAGGTAGCATGAATACGAGGTCCATGTATAATCCAATAGTTAGTAATTGATTTAAAAATCAATCAACTTTCATTGAACAGTAACAGATAAATTGTGATCACAGTGAAAAATAATGCTCCACAGACAAGAGTGTGTAGTAATTCTCCAACATTTAGGAAGATTGTATTGACTACTTCCTCGGCTGCTATTTATTAGACTAGTATTATCAACCCTGAGAAAACCCCAAATTGGTCAAAAACCTACATAACTTGACTTTTTAAAAGCATTTTCCCCAAGTCATTTTGTGCGTATTGTAGCCTTCACCCGTTTTATGTACCATCACAGAGTAGATGATATCTCACTAGTGTAGCCATACATTTATTTTACATTTCCCACTGTTAATGTGTAACTGCCAGAGACAATGAGACAATGTCCCTCTGCTTTTCTGCCACTGACACATTAACAACTACACTCTTTAAAACTCTACATTCACGATAGACAGGTTGAACAAAGGAGAAAGTTGTGGGTCAGCAGTGGAAGGACTTTCTCTAATGTTTTGGAACATCAGTGAATATTCGCAGTCCGTGCATTCCTTGAATCTCCTCCTTGAGCGCCTGTGGAGGACAAAACACAACAACTAGTGAATAACATTCAACTAGTACAGGTATAAACATCTTCAAGTGTACAATGCCCACCAAAGTTAAGGGGATAATCTTAAAAACCTTGCAAGCATGATGACAGAGAGATGTGGAAAGACAATAAAACATGTCACACAAAGCTTAGTCAGTTTATACTGCTACAGGTAATATGCTGGGCAGATTGTTATTGTTGTTACCTACCTGATTAACTAATTGGTGTTGTTGGATGGTCCTTTTTCCTTTGAACTCATTGGACTCTATATGGATCTCATACATGGCTCCACAACCACCTAAACACAGCACAGGATCAGTGTACAGCATGTTGGCACCACCTAGTTTCTACACAACAACAACAGATCTACATAATAATTACGATGAGGTCTATATTTGAATATTTGGAGTACGGTGCAACCAGTCACCTGGTAGATCTGTGTTTACCTGATATATCCACAACTTTGAGCGACGCGGCTAACGGGAACTTCTCCTTCAGCACGTTTGCGATGCGGGTCTCTCCGTCCGTTTGTGAGGACAGCCACCTCTGCACATGGCCACACACAGCAACCTGAGGAAGGCAGAAACGAGGATAAAGTTTAGCAAACTGCTGTTAGCATAACAGATCGACCCTGTGCACTGCAGCGCGAGCCAGGACTGTTAAAACGCGTATTTACTTTACTACTGCGATGAACCCGGAGAGCAGAGATCATAGTGCCGGTTAAGATCCGTTTACAAGCCAACATTGTGGAAATGTTCAGTCAGTTCAATGCCGGGACATATATAAAAGCCGCACAGGTTGTGTTGTTCCACAAGTCATGTTCTCAGAGAGCGTCGTCTCACGTTTATAACGTCACACATCCGGGTACTTGGTGAGTTGCGCTTTCCCCCCAAAACGATCAAAAATAAAAACAGCATATAAATAAATAAATTACACGTGTAATATAGCCACTAAGGAGAGAAAATACAAATCAACGGATTGATTGATTTGATTGAAGGATTCTTTTAGTGAGATAAAATGTTAATCATAGCATTTCTAATCGCAGAATGATGTGTTTGATTTTTATAAACTCTACTTTTCAAGTCTAAAAAGTCTAAAAGCTGTTACTGTGAATTATGTATCCCTAATGTGCACGCTGTCATTTGCTCCTGTTAATATTTCTTCTTTATGTAAAATGTTTGAGCCCAGACTGGCTGCTAGTCAGCTACAGAAGAGAAGACAAAATACACAAAACATTGATATGCAAAGTATACAAATTGACAAAATACAAATTGACCAGACTATAAGCTAATAGAGCTATCTTTTTCACTGCGGACATTTTAAACTCGTCACAGCAGATAAAACACAGGTGGATAATAACATGAATGATGGCTCTGCTCTATTTATGTGTCCCAGTAAGCCACGGCAGTGAGCGAGCATGTACAATACCTGGACCCTGAAACTGAAGCAGCTGAAGTGAATTCAGCCATCATGATTTTATTATTTACACCTGTGCTTTTCCTGCTATTACATGTCAAAATGTATTCTGTAAAAATAAAAATGGCCTGACCAGAACCCTGCATAACTACATGACATGCAGTCGTAATTTTGTAATTTGTGACAGGTGGCCTTTTTCTGTCTGCCATTCAAATGTCGGCTGATCTCTCCATACAGTGGAATTCATCATAGTAATAACATTTGAACCTAATATAAGTTAACCCCGTATAAAAAGTAAATGCTAACACCTTTTAGTTCAACCTTACAAATCAGTCTGAACAACAGCAGAGACAGTTGAACCCTCCAGCTCCTATTAAAGTTCAGGTTGACATTTACATGGTCGGAACAGGTCTGAATGAGAAGCTTATCTCAATCTGCAGGTTGTGGAGCCCTACATTAATCGAGGCAGAAGAGTAATCAGTGACTGTTGACAGTGGGCCTTGGTCCCTTTTCACTACAGGCCTGAGCTTTGTTTGTACACAAGAATTATGGGCGCAATACAAAGCTGGACAGTCATCAAGGAAGCGATCATGTCAGAAATCATTCTAAAGTCCTGTCTAGTGTCAGAATAACTGACGTCAATGCCCTTTAAAGACACGATGTTACCAGAGAGTCTGAACAGTGTACAGATGCAGAGATGGAAAGCACCATGTTCCCCACACTGACTTTGATGGTTCTCTTCCTCACTTGTTCTGCTCAGGAGGATGCAGAAGCTCTATCCTGCCCAGAATACCAGGAGGGTTTTGACGGCTCTTGCTACGAGTTTGTGGGTATACAGCGATCCTTCCTCAGTGCCCAGCGGTGGTGTGAGCGAGGTGGAGGACACCTAGCCTTCATCCTGAATGATGAAACGCAGCAGTTCCTCCAGAAGCACCTGGACCCGGAGAAGGACTGGTGGCTCGGGCTGGCACCTGCAGCTCCAAACCTCACACTCGACTCTGCTGCCACCAAAGGTGAGAGGGCATGTGGGTGGGGAACAACTGTAGACACTGCATGACTTCTAATGGCTTGATATAGATTTGTAGTGAGTTTACATGTTTTGGAGTCACAAGTGATAAAGATTATTTGTAAAAGTCGGTCAATTTCTCTGAAACCTATTTCAGTAACTATCATTTTAAAACTGTATGTATCTGTGATCAGTGGTTATAGCCAATAATGTCAGAAATAAAGATTATCACCGCAGCTGTTATCTCGTTGGGCAGCTTGCATGTCCATTGTATAGATCTGTCACATGTTTGTTGACTGACATTTGTTAGAAGACACATTTGGATATCTCCCTCAAGCAGCAGGTGTTCTTAGAGATATTCCTCATTCATTTGAACTTTTCAATAGGCTTGCTGTCAAGTGGTCTGATTTACAAATGTGTCTTTGTGTCCCTCCACAGAGAACGAGTCTTAATCATTCATTCACCCTGTCACCAGCTCAATCTATTGCTTTGTTGTTTTATTATCGCTATATTGCATCTTAACAGAAAGACAAGATAAGGAAAATGACCATGTCCTAACATCTGTGGCTTAAATAGCAGAATCCAAAATAGGAGTTTGATGTAAATAAATGTTGTATCTGTTTTTGTCCTTTCGCAGGTTCCCTTGCATGGCTGGAAGGCTCTTATGTCAGCTATAGTAACTGGTTGAACATGCCAGATGCACAAGCAGCCTGCGGACATATCCTGAGACATTCAGGCTTCCAGTGGGAAGCAGCAGGGAACTGCAGCCAGGAACTCAACTCTATTTGCCAGTTTGGTATGTACTCGTAAATAAATCACCAAACAGCATTCAAATTATGTTTTGTTTGCTCCCCTTATGTAATTCTTGATTATTTTTGTCAGATTCTGGAAGATCTATCGCATGTGATGGCCAAAATGCAACATTGCAATGTGGTTCTGGTCAAGTTATAGTGATAGATGACAGCTTCTATGGTCGAAAGAATATGCACTACTGCAGATCCAAACTTACAGCCTCACCCACATCCTCCCAGGAGGAGTGCAGCTGGACAGATGTGATGGATTCTCTAACAGGTATTATTTTACAGGTAGTATATACATGTATAATAGATCAGGTTACTCCCCATTTACATGACAAGATATTTACTCAACTTACTAGCTGGAACTTTGAATAATGGAACATTTTGTTTAAAGGAATATTTGTAGTTACAGTAAAAGCTATAGGAACATATTTGGCTTTGTTAAAGCCGCTTTATCAAAACGCCCAGATACTAAAATCACCACAAAATACATATTAGTTTTATGCTTTGTGTCAAACACAAAAAATATCAGGACAGACAAATGGATTACACTTCCAGAAAAGACATTAGGCAAATCCCCTCCTTAGAGCTGAATAGGTGGGCTTTAGGGTAAATATTCATTCACATTCATTCATATCAGTCTGGGATTAGTTATGCTGGAGGAGTTTGTGTAATTACTAAGCAAATCGTTTATGTTCTTCCTTATGGTTAATACACCTCTTAAACCCTCTCATTAGAGGGTTAAAGAAACATGAGCAAGATTATTTAAATTCAATAGGATGCAAATTGAACATTGTAATGCTTTTTACAATTTTTACAAACAAACCTTCTACAACAATATTGTCAAGGCCTCTTGATCAATGATCTTGAAAATAATCCAATCCGATTGTCATTTACTTGATTTATGTGTTGTTTCAGCCCATTGCCACAGTCTGCAGGCTTGCCAAGCTCCAATGGATTTGAGCTCTTTTGGGGAACCATGTCCTGTCCTGGGAAGTTACCTGTCTATAGAGTACACCTGCAAACATGGTCAGATTTTACTTCTACTATACATAGACTTTATCCCTCTAAAATAATATGCTCAGTCATTATGAGTGGAATCAGGTTGGACTATAACTTTTCGCCATACTAACTACAAATATATATATTTTTATTTTATTTTACTGCCTTACAGCTATACACGGTATGTGTAGTTCACAGCTAGTTTGGGTTTAGCCATAATAGTGGCCGATGTCGTCACCCTCCGACTAGGTTCTGTATGTCCTGCGTTCCTCTTTCAATGGCTGAACCACATTTCTTGTCCTTAAACTTTACATTACCCACAGAACTATAGCCCCTCCAGCTAAACCTGCCCGTTGACTTTTAACTGTATTACATGATTAAATCGCTGGTGTGACTAGCAGAGTGAACTTAGATGAACTGTTATGTATATAATGTAACAACGTTAACTCCAGGATGCATTATGCTAGTGATGAAATGTTCTTGCTCATGTTCTTGTTTGAACAAACCTCTCTGAAGCAACATTTCCTCTCAGGACTCCACTTGTTGATGAGCAAGCTGGCGGCCGTCTTTGATAATATCACCATCACTGTGAAGTGGCTCCTTAATCCTTTTCAGGGGAACCTCACATGCACACTGAATGCTGGAGATGGCCACACTATTGATCCATACAACCCAGAAGAGTGAGTAAGACTTGACTTTGCATTCAACCAGACAGTCAGGTTCTTATTCATTCACTATTTATGTAACTGTATTTAAGCTTCACTTTACCTGTCTCACAGGATTCAGAGCACTGTGATGCACAAATTCACCCGTCCCGGTGTTTTCATGGTTGCAGTGGAGTGCACTACCAGTGACTGGCATGTCACAGCTCAGAAACCCATAACCATTCAGGAGCCTGTTGGAGAGTTTGGTGTCATTACGTGCTATAGCAGGAATATGTCAACAGGTGGCACTAAATGCAATGTGCTTCATGGTAGACCTGTTCAGATCCAGGTCATGGTAGAGGCAGGTGAGTCAGTCTAAGACTGTAGGGATTAAATGCTTCCAATAAATTTCAAAATAAAGATTAATTCCATATTTTTTTCATAAATAGGTACAAATGTTTCCTACACAATTCAGCATGAAGGCCATTCGGTTGCAAACTTGTCAGTGGAGAATGGGATCACACCCCACAACATTACACTGAGTGAAAGTGTGGCGGAGAAGCTTGGTCACGGCTGCCACAACCTGACTCTAGCCGCCTCTAACAGGGTCACAGCCCACACAGTGTCTACTGATCTGAAGCTGTGTCTGCTGGAGCCCATTGAAGGCCTGCAGGCCTCGGTGATAGCAGAGGAAGGCGTGTGTCCAGACTCTACTGATATCACTATTGGTGTTTCGCTGGAGCGGGGAGCCCCTGTGGAGCTGCTCTTTACTCTGACTGGAGCCAGTGACGCACTCTCCGAGAATAGAGACATGCTCAATGGCAGCTTACAAGCTTATACATTCTCCAGCCCACTTGAAGGTACTTACGGCTTAAGCTGTGCTGTAATTAAATGAAAATAATCACCCATAGTGTGTAATACATGCGTTCAATGCTGTTAAACTCTTTTGGTAAAGGGCCGTTGAAGG